GCTAATGCCAGGGGCTTAGGTGGAGAGCAAATGTTTTGAAAATGATGAGGGCAATGAATGTACAAATGTGCTTTACACAATTGATGTATGTATGGATTTTGATAAGAGTTGTATGAGCCCCTAATAAAACAATTTTAAAAAATAGCTACAAAGGAATTAAAATTACCCTAACCTCAGACTTCTCTCCTTCAGTACACATTGTAAGAAGAAAAGGGAAGTAGGGCCCCCCAAACAGTTTATCTTTTGTGCATGTTAGCAAGAGAAAGAGTCAGAAACCACACCACTCGCATCCTCTTTTGCAAATAGGATCTGAAGGAGTCTCTGAGCCGGCTCAGAGACCAAGGGAAAGGAAGGCTCAACAAGGAGACAGTCTCGCCCGAAAGGTGAGTGTTATAAGGTGCCCAGCGGAGTCTCACCAGTCCTGTAGCACAGACAGTGTTTGCTTCCTGAATTCACCAAGAAAGATGATGGCCACCTAGACAGCAGACTCCTGGTGGAGACTGAGGGATGGAGTCCTCCCGGACAGACAACAAGAGCTCCTTGAGATAGAAGTGGAGGAGGTATGATTCTGTTTCTTACTGAAATGTTTGAAAAGGAAGGGCCACAGAGGAGAGCCCATTCCACCTCGTCGTCTTCCCTGGGAAATTCGAGGCAAAGCAAACTGTGGAGTTGGGTGGGAGGCACAGGGTTTCTGCTCCAGGTGAGAAGGAGTAGCCACTGGCTCCCACAGGTCCTCTCTGCCCTAGGGGCCCGGTGTCACCCCCTCAATTGCTGTCAACGGAGGCTGACTCCGCTGGGGGTGTGGGGGGTGTAACACCTGGCCAGAGATCCGTTTGCGGCGGCATGTGTACTGGGGGAGGCTGCTGGCGGGACAGCTCGTGTGGAGGACGGCTGGAGGTGGCCACGGGCTCGCGCGGGGTTGGGAGGAAGCGGGTGTCGCTCTGGGCGGCGGGGGCGTCCCTGCGCGCGGAGCGGCCTTACCCCCGGGCCCGGTGGAGACGGTGACCTGCGCATAGGTGGCTCC